CTTTGGTCTTATCTCCTGCCACCGCATTACCTACTGCAGTGTTGTCAGCTAACACACACACACACACACACACACACACACACACACGTTAAATCACAAATACGTTAAATAAAATGCAATATTTAAAAGGATATGGTTTGTCTTATTATTTATTTTTTCCAAAGATCGTCAGATTCATCATGATTCTTCCTAACTTCCCTCCTCTGTCTGTAGCACTGAACTCCTCCGCTAACAACGTAGCTCTTTAAAATCCGCTCTGATATCCATAGTTTATCTGCAGCTGACCACTCTGTAGTGCGTTGTGTTGAGGAAGTGAGTATTTGTGGCAGTGGGGCGGGGTGTGTCTAAACAGATTTGCATGCCTTATTGCAAGCCCAGTGTTTCCAGAATGTGATTTGAAACATATTCCCTCCCTTCTTCAGGGTTTTTAAATCCTGTTCTCTGTATTTAGTCTCGTATTCTCCTTCAAAGTCTAAACCCACTGCAGTATCTCTATCAGGGGAACAGCTACCCTTAATGTGTTCTTCTGTATGCTGTGGTGTTTATCAAGCCTACCCTGCAGGACAGACCCGTGGGAGAGCAGATCTTTGATGATGTCATCGTGAAGCATCCTGACCCTGCGTCTCTCAGCCGCCACGCTGTACTCCACCTGCTCCTTCTCAGTGTGAGGCACCACGGGCTTCAGGATCACCTGGGAGGAAATGATGGTGAGGGTGTCTGCTTAGTGTTTGGAAATTTTTTCAAAGTTTAAAAAAATGACTTGAAAATCTGTAAATGAATTTTGCTTTTCAATAATGATTTTGAACTGTGTAGTCAGTATTGTAGCAAGTTTCCACTGACGACATCACACACAATCCTGAAAGCCAAGAGGGGCATTAAAAAGGAATTTAGTAAAGAGTGGTTCGGGAATGAGTCCTTTAACCCAGAAAGGAGTCAGCTTTTTACCACTTCGGTTTGTAGGTACTGTACATGTATTGGATTAGATGCCTGAAATAATGTATGTGGTTAACACAATATATTTGTATGTGTTGTGTGTCAGTAAATACACCCCTGGTGAATTTCTGGAGCTTCTATGTGTCCTAAAAATGGCGGTTGGAAACAAGTGACTAAATGATAATACTTAACGTCATTAGCCCCTTTAGCTTAGAGGTGGTGCTGCACAGCCATGAGGCCGTCGTTCACTTTGTTTATAGGCTGACGGTATAGCCTTACCTTTTTCCCTGTGTTTGAGCGCTGGGTAACAAAGGTGGCAAAGGCGTGACAGACCCTCCAGTGCCGATCAGAGAACAGATCCTCACAGCTGACCTGCACGTCCACCTGGCAGGACACAGAAACAGAATAATTCTACTTCTACAACTGAAATCAGTTACCGTAATTTTCGGACTATAAGGCGCACCTGAATATAAGCCGCAGCAGCGGCATACCACTCTCGGTTCCACTTTTACTTTTGCGCGCTACCTGTCTCACTCTTTTCCGGCCTCCAGCTTTTCCTGCTGGAACCCGCCGCTTAAAGGTGGGGATCCGCGGACCGGCCATAGAGCCCATAGAGTTAAAGGTGTTGGCCGTTAGCTGTAAAAATCCATAGATTAGCCGCACCGTTATATAAGCCGCAGCGTCGAAAAATAGGGAAAAAGGCGCGGCTTATAGTCCGAAAATTACGGTACTTTGGAGCTAGACAAAGCCTTTCAGTTCAAATTTATATTTAAATCCGAGCCGTCAGGGCCCTCTGAGGAACTAAGATATTCTACAAAAATATATTTAAAAACATTTTGAATTTATTTTTTATATATTTAAAAAAAAAAAAATGTAGTTATATTTTTCATTAGTTTTACCAAAATAACTTGATTTAATTGTATTTAAAATAACATTTCAAAAGAAATAAATCCTTTGAATCTGCCTATTCAGTTTCTGTTTGAATGTGAAAGGCTAAATCAAAGAAGCTCCTTTAGCTAAGATAGGAGCTGAGTGGCGGTCCTGCTGTAAATTCACAGAGGGCCCGCTAAAGAGAGGTGAAGTCCCGCCCATCTACTTCCGACCCATGGGACCTTATTTCGGAAAAATTATGTATTGAAGTCAATGGGGAGAGAGATTATCTTTCGATCCCGTTTGAATTGTGCCACGAATTACACATATGATGTTTGTCAATCTTAAGAAATAATTTCCA